TAATCTTTGATAACTCAAATACCATTGGACGGATTTACTTCAAATTTTATATACTGATGCCTAGAGATAAAGGAGCTCTGCTTGAGAAGAAATTTTCAAGGTGGCTGCTATTCATCTCTGTCATTTTTCATTAAACATGTAATCCTTGATAACTCAAGTACCAGATGACGGATTTGGATTAAATTGTATATGCTGATGCCTTGGGACATAGGAGCTCTGCTAAAAAACGAAATCTAAAGATAACAGCTGAATTTCCAAATGGCAACCATGTTTCATAATCTTTGATAATTTATTTAAATACCAGTAGATGAAATTTTATATGGTCGCTATTTATCAAAACATGTTTTGTTCGGTGGGATTTCCTACTCCGTGGAGTTGCTGTTTTTCAAGTTAAATTTGATTTTAGCTTTTTATTATGTCCCCACCACATAGTGTGGGGCCATATTGTTGGCCTAGGCGCGTCCGTCTATCTGTCCGTCTGTCTGTCTGTCCTTACGTCCGGCAGTTTTCTCCAAAACCGCTACAGGTGAACCGTTTGGTAAATCAATTTCAAATTTTCAGGGATGATTCTTAGTATGAAAATCTAGATCTGATTAGTTTTTTGGCATTCTGGGTAAATGTAAAGTCTTGTCTACGCGTTTTCAGGTGAACCATTTGGTAGATCAATTTCAAATTTTCAGGGATGATTCTTAGTATGAAAATCTAGATCTGATTAGTTTTTTGGCATTCTGGGTAAATGTCAAGGCAGCCATTTTGGATTTTCCGTCCTAAAGTCTTGTCTGTAAATCTTGTCTACGCATTTTCAGGTGAACCGTTTGGTAGATCAATTTTAAATTTTCAGGAATGATTCTTAGTATAAAAATCTAGATCTGATTAGTTTTTTGGCATTCTGGGTAAATGTCAAGGCAGCCATTTTGGATTTTCCGTCCTAAAATCTTGCCTGTAAAGTCTTGTCTATGTGTTTTTTAAAATTGAGAACTGATTAGTTTTTTGACATTCTGGATAAATGTCAGGGCAGTCATTTTGGATTTTCCGTCCTAAAATCTTGTCTGTAAAGTCTTGTCTACGCGTTTTCAGGTGAAGCATTTGGTAGATCAATTTCAAATTTTCAGGGATGATTCTTAGTATGAAAATCTAGAACTGATTAGTTTTTAGGCATTCTGGGCAAATGTCAAGGCAGCCATTTTGGATTTTTCCATCCTAAAATCTTGTCTGTAAAGTCTTGTTTACGCGTTTTCTGGTTTACTGTTTGACGGATCAATTTCAAATTTTCAGGGATGGTTCTTAGTATGAAAATCTAGAGCTGACTAATTATTTGGCATTCTGGGTAAATTTTAAGGTGGCCATTTGCATTTTCCGTCCCAAAATTGTAACGGTAAAGTCTTGTCTACTCATTTTCAGGATAACCATTTGACGGGATCATATTGTACACATTTGTGTTCTTGTATTCACCTTTCCCCAAAGTCAGCTCATGAATATTATAATTAGCAAACCTGAAATCTCTGACGTCAGAGTAGGGCAGATTTTCGCGGGAAAATCTTAACACATTAGAAGTCAATGTGAATCGTGACGGAAACGGGTTAACTTTATTGTCAAATTATGTTGAGTAGTAATAATATTAATGATAAATGTCATGGAATTTAATAATTATACTCACGTCTATATTCCCCCTTCTTGTTATATTGTTCTGGGGAATCAAATGAATAGAGAAATATTGATGTGAAGAGTCCAATGTTTCCTGTACATTTTCAAATTACGCCGACTTTACAAAACCCCATGTTTAGTTTTTGACTGTCAAAATGTCAACATCCCATGATAATCTTAAGTTCGTGTAATATTTTCTCATGGGGCGAAGAAGACTTAACCTTGAAGAAAACGTATTCGACTCTCAAATCTGGGCCAACGGTGCGTTACTTTCACTTACGTTCAGCCACCTATTATACCACATGGTATGGTATGGTATGCAGGCCTGTCAACTGTCCCGCAATTTGCGTATTTGTCACGCATTTGCTGAAGAATTTGAAGTCACGCCAGTTATTTTTGCGTGACAGAAAATGTCACGCAAATACGCATTTTACCTGGTAATTGTCAAGCAAAAATATTTCTGTAGAAAATATTTTAAAAAAGATCGTCTACACAGTAAAAATACGAACGCCGGAAAAAAAATGTACGCATTTCGTTCGGACTTTTCACGCGAATTGCGTATATGTCACGCATGCGAGGTTAGCGAGCGAGTTTAGCGAGCGCGAAAAATTTGAGGTGTTCAAAATTTGGCAAGATGTAATAAAATTTAATCCAAGGTGTTCAAAATTTGGATCAAGGTGTTCAGATTTGGACCAAGGTGTCCACATTTTGAGGGGAGGTGTTCAACATTTCCAAGTCACTCATGTTAGGTGTTCCCAAGTTGACAGGCCTGGGTATGGATCTTTATTTCTTCCAATTTGGAGAGCAAATTAATACAAAAACAAATTATTAAATTACAATATATACATTAGATACAATATAATAATATACTTTTATGTCTGCGGAAGAATTTGACAATGGTTACGTGAGTGATGACTGGTGAGTGATGATAAGGCCGTTCATGTATGCTTTGAGACGATATACCAGAGTTGCTTGTTTTACACATGATTAATCATGATTACACACGATCGTCTGTTTGAAGAGACTTATCTCTTGAAAGGCCCATGGGCGTTCTTTTAAATATCGAACTTTGTAGAGAACTTTCAAGATATTTTTGGACGTAGACCTACATGAAACAAACTCCGGCAATTCAAGCCCGTATGCAGGATTTATCTGCCGGAGCGGTTTTACCAAGGGGGGGGCTTTTTGACAGTTTTGGCAAAAAATCATGCGAAAAGTGCTCAGAATGGTGAAAACCCGCATGATTTTGAAAGAATTTCTGGCCGGAGGGGAGCGGTCGCTCCTTCCGCTCACCCCCCCCCTTTGGCTACGGCCCTGTTATTAAGCTTAGAATTGCAATTAAAATGCAAAATACTACAGTATGATGAATATTAGTTACTTCAACATTGAATTGCAAAAATACAAGACCAATCGCAAATTATTTGGGCAATCCGGTGAAAAAAAGCAAGTGGACTCTGACATTTAAAACTGTTCTTCATATATATTTTTTATTAGAAACATAATGAACTATTTAATTGAATAATCATGATTAATGTATATTCCTAATCCATACAGTCTTAATGTTTGAATGATTGTCAATCTTTAGTTTGCGTAATTGGATTCACTTTGTTAAAAGACTAGCACTCGTATCACAATTATTTCTATGGTTTGATTTACCGGATTGTGTATTTAAGACACAGCTTAAGGGAAAATTACAGAAAAATATATTTCACTTAGTTTTGTTATCATTTTATAATGAGATATATTTCACTCATTCGGCGATCTAATAGTAATAACGCAGATGCGAGTAGGTAGTTACCAGATTCACCACCAGATGGCTCGTTCGGGTCAGATAGCATGGCGGGTATGGTAGAAAGTCCCCTTTAACTTAAATTACATCTATTTGCGTGGTTCATTTTTCATATAACCCTTATGTATCTAATAGTTATGCAAATTAAAATATGTCCAGTAAAAGAAAATCTGTCTGTCCAATACAAGATAAGATAATTTATTTTTTGTGATTTTGTAACATGGGCTCTATGGGGAATCAACCCGAACAAGAAGTCACATTTTCAAAAAAAATTAAATTTTCAAAGTTGATAGACAATTTTCGAAACCATATTTCTAGATGTACTTTTACATGCAGATTTCAAATATGACATCACTTTGACTAAATTTTTAATATATAATGACGTAAATCAAGATTATTTCTACTCGCATCTAGTCTATTGAAGTTTTGGTGCGAAATGTGCCCTGCTTTGACGTCATTGATTTTCATCGACCAATCAGCGCAGCGGTCAAATGAGTACACTTTGGACTTTGGGGAAAGGTGAATATTATTGTCAAGTATCAGTTGCATGTTATTGCGGAAAAATGGTTTCGATGGATATGGATCCAGAACTTGCAACTAAGGAAAGAATAGTAAGGAGGTTAAACTCAATAACTTTCTAACCATTTGAGGGATTCATCTGAAATTTTCAGGGATGTTTCTACATATCAACGTCAAGAACTGATTAGTTTTTGGGCATTCTGGGTAAATCTTAAGGTGGCCATTTTGGATTTTCCGTCCTAAAATCTTCACTTTCAAGACTTGTCTACAGGTTTCCAGCCAAACCATTTGAGGGATTCATATGAAATTTTCAGGGATGTTTCTACATATCAACGTCAAGAACTGATTAGTTTTTGGGCATTCTGGGTAAATTTTAAGGTGGCCATTTTGGATTTTCCGTCCTAAAATCTTCACTTTCAAGACTTGTCTACAGGTTTCCAGCCAAACCGTTCAAATTTTTACATATGTTACACAGTGATAAGTTCTAGAGCTGATTAACTTTTCTGCGGCCATCTTGCTTTCTTGGTCAACAAGACCACAATGCTGTGTTTTAGGTACGATATTGTTCACGTCTGTGCCTTGTTCCAGATGTTCTCTACTCATTTTAGAGATTTTTCAAAGTTTATAAGGTTGTTGTTTCAATGTATTTGCTCTCCAATCTCATAAATAACAAACTTAAGTAGGTAATCATAGTCATTCAATATATGTCTTCAAACAAGTAGATTTAGGGAGGCAAATGCCTTGTATTGATTTTTATAAGTATATCAATGGTACTGAGCATTTAGCTGTGAAAGTAGACAAAAGGGTGCATGTAGTAAAGAGTTTTGTCCCATGAAAGGCAGATGCAGTCATCATTTGCTGAGAAATGTATCATAAGACTATCCCAGTTATTTTTTAATAAAAACCATATAAATGCTGTAATATAAATGTTATTACATGCTATAATAGAAAAGCTTTAATATAAATTGTCCGAAACAATTCATATTTCATAATTTAAATACTCATGCTCTAGGAATGTATGTATTTATTCTTTTGTATGCCTTTGTAGGAGCTGAAGAAGACCAGCAACAGCCAAGAAGAATGTTCTTGGGTGTCTGTCATCTTGCGGGTGGTGCAGCATTTGGCAAACAACCCCCATGAGCCAAATGATGCAGTCATTTTTGAGTATTTCCCAAAAATGATAAGTATTTATAATTTATTTGCATATTATCAATTAATGCCAAAAGAGTAATTGAAAAGTCCAGATTTTGATTGGGCAAAGAGTATTATTAACATCTAATCTACCATATAGAAAACATATTTCAAACACAAAAAGAGAAACAATGAAATCTCATCCTTCTTTTGATGAGAATAGTTGAAACTGAGTGGTACATAGTAAATGTGACTGATTATTCATGTGAAAGATGTTATGCATTCACCTTCCTTTATATTAAGTTCAAGTTATAAAGATGACTTAAAAAATGAAGTCTTTTAGATTATTTAATCCACTGTATGTAATAAGAGAAAGGGAGTGTGTATTGGCTCCATGACTTGTCAGCCACTCTTGTCATAAAAAAAGTTTAATTACTTATGAGGTTAAGAAATTGTCAGTTCAGTTTTTCTTGTAAAAACAAAGATTCTAGAGAGGCATGTTAATTAGTGGAAGTAATGATTAAGTATTGTCTAGATTAGTTGTAAATATGACAATGTGCTCCATTTGTGGAAATGAGTATTCTTTAGTTGTCAAAACATATATGACAATTTGGTATGTACATGTTTTTGACAACCTTCCACATAATAATCACATTTAATGAGACAAATCTTGGCTTTACATACAAGTAAATGAACGAATTTAGAAAAATTGATGTACTAATGGCTTATGTTTAAGATGGTCACTGAAATCTAAAAATGATTCCCTTTTTCAGAAGAAATATTATCTACTATAATTCAAATATGAGTCATTGCCTTCTAGGCATAGGGCCTCTTCTCAAGAAGGGATTTCTAGAACAGTGTCATGTCACATCATTGGTGTTGATTTTGTCAAAAAGAGATAGCAATACTGCAAGGCTATTTCTTACCCTTTGCATTCGTTCGACTTCACTTTTTAAAAGAGAGCTTTGTCTTCACTCTTTCAGTTTGCAATAAATCTCTGATCTCACCGAGCCAATCAGAGTCGAAATATGGACGACTTTCTATATGGTCATCTCCTCTGACATCACTGCAGAGTTAATGAGCACATATTTAGCACGTGTTCCTTCCACTTCTCTGATTGGTTGAGATAAGGTCAGCGTGGTAGATTTGAAATGATTTATAACCTGGGCTGTCACAGGCACCAATCTTTGGGGCGGGGCTGCTAAACTGTAATAAAGTCTGTACTAGGCAGAGGTACAGTTTATAACTACACTCTGCATGCAGGTTAGCTATTTCTGTAATGAAATGTTCAAAATCACGGGTGATTTAATAAATATATTTTGTTTGGTTAGGCCTGCTACTTTAGGGAGTTGCTGTTTTCTTGTCTAACCTAGATTCACCTTCGTTGACCTATAAATGAAAACATTTTGATTGTTTTTTTTTATATTTCATAAAGCACATGTCTAGTTATTTATGTAAATGTGAAGACTAATTTTGCATAATATTTTAATCTTTGTTTGACCCCTATTGCTAGGCACATGTGGGATAGATTAGGGTCATACTGCCACACCCCTCTCTGTCTTACAAGTTTTTTTTGCATTATGCATTGATCAAAGAATCCTATGGATGAAACGAAAAACTTGTGACATAATGAATCAAGAAGTATGCTTGTATTGTTAAAAACTGTCTGGTTTATCTTTTGTATTGTTTGATGATTGAATGATGAATATAACATGCTGATATGTACCAGATTTATAAACGTCATTATCCCTTAACTGAATGTATTGTATTTCAAAGTTTTAAAAAAGTTCATATTTTATGCAATTGTTTTTGAAAAGTAATTAAATAAACAATTGTTGGGAAAACAATAAAAAGGCAGATGTATTTAATAATGCGCCATACACTAGAATAACAGTTTAGTTACTGTTAATCAAGAATTCAAAATATAAAAAATAATCACGCAGTTCTTTTCTTTACATTGTAGAAACCTATGAGTGTATCTCACATTTGCTACAGACCAGTTCATATTTTGAAAAGACTTTGGAAGATACGTTGGAAACAATAATTGTAAGTTGCAAAGATTATTGTTAACTTTATTAAAATCCTTTCTTTAATTAAATAATTTAATACTTTGATAATTGGCCTGTTATTAGAATGTTGCTACCCATGGTCAATATATTGTTTAAATATGCTTTGTTTGACAAACTATAATTGTTGCATTGTTCTGCCCCAGCAGGCAAGATTGAAAATCATATTGAAGAGTTCAAATATCCTTTCCTTCTCATAGGGGGTATTTTAGGGGTAAATGATCAGTCCTGAGTGTGATTAAGAGGTTTTAAATAGGATTGTTCTTAATGGAATTTCCCATACATCTCTATCCAGTTATCATATCTCAAGAACAGAGGAAACAATGTGACAAATAATAATAAATGACTATTCAATCATAGAGGTACTTGAAGGCAGTGTAACCAAACAAACTTGACATTGAACAAACATCTAACTACCCCTGGATGACACATGTATAATACAAATACCTTGACCAGAGTCAACAGTGATAGATTAGCAATTTTTTTGCAATCTTTAGCGATATAATTTATTTCAATTTACATTGGTAATATTTACATGACAAAAAGGAGGAGGTACCTAATTGATGAGAAATGTATTTCACGAATGTGCTGAGACTGAATGATTGAAATAAGAAGAAAGGGAAGAAAGGGCCTCTCTAATGGAATCCCATGCAACTGTCTTTATCCAGTGAAAATTAAATAAGGACCAGGTTTATTTGAAATAAAAGAATCAAGGTTGGAAGATTTTTTTCATTAGATCTTATACACCGTCATCTTATTAATGTGTCAGTAAAAAGGGTTGTTGTGACAGTAATAGCATCTTAATAAAAGCAACACACATGTTTAATGATTGTGTGCACAAAGCTTCACATCCCAAGTGTTTCACTTCACTATGGAATTTTTTTTTTTTTTTCTTTCGCTCAGTGGATGTTAATTAAAGTTCACCAACCAACTTAGATGAACGGTTTATGAAAAGAATGACTGTTTGTCTTAAAAAGCTACCCATTCTTCAAGAAGTGTAACAAGATATACATCTTTTCCACAGGCACACGTTAAACTATAATACCAGATAAATGTATGTTGTTCTAACCTCTTCTGTTGCATGTTTAATGTTAATTACAACTCACTGAAAAAACTAAATAAAAGACTAAATAGAAAAATCTAGGATTTAGAAAACATAATACCTAGTGTATTTAAACATTTATCTAAAAATTGGTCTTTAATTAACATTTAATCTCTGTGTTTTTCAGACCCTGTCTGAATACAGTAGCCGAGGTGAGTGCCATTCACAAAAGGAACATGTAATTAATTCCTCAAACTCTGTTTCGCTTGGATTATTTTCTATGCCCTTCTCTGTAACTCAGTTAATAACACTTAAATGCTTATCGAATTAGTATTATTTTGATTGTCTTGTTTCGTTTTTCTCATCACTCGAACCAAGTTTATTTAGATCAGATTACAACAGAAAAACAGCAAGAATGAAATTTGGTCAGCCCAAATAGAGCATGAGCATTGCATTTGAGATTAGATTTATGCTTTAATTGTTCTTGGTGTTATTTTAATTGTGATAGTGTAGGGTCACATTTAGTCATAACCCATGGGTTAAAAGGTTAACTAAACATACTGTTAAAGTCAAATTATTTTAGTTGGAATATTTAAATTATTAAATTATATAGTTGTAAATCATGGAAATTGTACAGCTTATATGAAATATTGAAGAATGTGGATTTGCAGGTGGGCAGCTTTAATCACCAATTATCTGCAACATTAAACCTTACTTTGTATTAACTCAGTGATCCTCTAATCTTGCTTGCCTCTTTTATACTCGCAGAAATTGTTCAGTAAATGTGGTATGTACATGTCAGAATTACTGAAATTTACTTCCATTGTTTTAACAAATATTTCAAAAGAAATTAGATTCCATTCATACATTTACAAAAGGAACAATTTGTTGATTATCAAGAACGATGGAAAGATTTGTTTAAAGAGCCAAAAGATAAAGGTTCTTTGTTCATAGATTTAAGGGGAGGGGTATTGGTTAAGCAATAAAATTAAAGATGTGATAGAAATTATGTATAGTAAAATATCTGTTACACTAATATGTCATTCATTAATTTCATTTCACAATAATTGACATTGGAAATTATATAATTGGATATGGCATTTTATTTTGTTTCAGCTAATTTGCATGAAGCATTAAATATTTGTTTCAATATATTTTGTTTGAATTTCAGCAAAAGGAAGAATGATCTCCATGTTTTCATTGATGATCCTATCAGATGTCACAAATGTCAAGTTCAGCTTTCATATAAAAATGGAGGTACATGTACATATAATTTATGAATAATCATAAGATATTTAAACATGCCAAGCGTGTCTCAGCCAATCAGCTTAAAGCATTTCAGTGTGTTAATTCATTGATATATGCATTCTCTAGTTTAAAAATATATTGTGCTAAATTATTGCCATTTCTTAGTAAAATGTCGTTCTCCGGTACGTTGCCAAAATTATTCGATGGTACCCCGTGATATTGGAAATATAAAAACATTTGTGTATGCACTAACCCACTGATAATGCACTCAGGCTTCGCCTTCGTGCATTATGTGTTTGGGTTAGTACATACACTCATGCTTTTATATTTCCAATATAGAATGATACATAAATCTTTATTCCTTAAATAGTTTTCTCATTTTTTTTACATGTTGAGAACTACTGTATATACAGTAAAACCTGACTCATCTGAACATCTCTGGGACTGACCAAAAGTGTTTTAATTATCAGGTGTTCACATTTCAGGGTTTTCTTAATATGTGAATCTTGAAAGGTGTTTGGATTAAAGAGGTGTTAGAACATACAATGTATGTTTAATATTGTAAAATGTTAATCTTTAATTTCTGCAATATTTTATGGGATTGATTCTGAATTTCATTACTGTTTTATTCTCACGTTTTCCTTACACATCTGCTTTGTTGTGTAGAAACAATTACAATTCTAACACATTCATTATAAAGAATATTTTCCAAAATAATTGATATTATTTGTTGTGCACTGCAGCTAGGATAGTATATATGTATGTCATAAATAATATTAGATTTTATCATCAAAACTCAACTTTCCATTTCTTTTGTCAATGTGGCAACACTTCAATGTTCATATTTGAGATGATGTGTAATGCTATAAGATGGATGCAAAATGTCATGGTCCAAATCTACCAAAAATAGAAGTTCCAACCCCTTAAATGTTTTTATCACCTCACTGCATTATTTTGTAGATGTTGAAGTCCCTAAATTTACTACTGGAGAGATGTCCTTCTTCTGTGAGGCAACAATTAAATCAAGTGCCAGAATTCACAGAGTTAATGTAAGTAAACATCCACTAATTCTCTGTTAGTCAGAAGCAGGGTGCATTTACTTTTCACCATTTAGTAAGATGTCATGGATTTTTCAATAACATAATGTATAATTTGGGATGGAAAATAACTCATTGGGTAAGGTCATTGATTATAGATATTGCATTCATTGCATTGAAACTTATACACCATTGGCATAGCTAGGGGGGAGTGTTTATTTAAGTTGAATGCTTCAAAATTCTTCTTACCATCCAAAGACTTTCCAAAATTGCCTTTCTGCAATCTCCATTGTCAAGTTAGAAATGAATTGATCATTGAAAAAACAGAATTTAATGTTCAAACTCTTGAAGGACTTTGGATAAAAGGATGTATAACATTGAATTGGGTGAGGTGGCAATGGACAAGTGGTAAGTCTGAAAATGTCTGCAAACAAAGGAGAGGAATTTTACTCAGTTTTACTCTGAGTAAATAATGATTATAATTCTTGCCTTTGTTTCAATGTTTCAATCAAAATTATATACAATTTTTTATATTTCTGACCAAACAAAATCATTTCAGACTGTTTCATAGTGTAATAATAAATCCATCTCAGCATAAAAATGCTTACACGCACATTGATCAATAACATACTTTTGAATTCCATGTTCTTTGCTGTGATGATGAATACATGATTATCCCAACGAGTGAAGTTAGGGATATAGGGTTAGGGATATAGCGAAGCTCACCATCCATCAGTCAGTCCCTCTGTCAGTTCATCTGTCAATCCATCCAGAAAATAATTTTCATACTAGTGGACTGGTTTTCATATTTGGTGGAAAGATGTATATTGTTGAATAGTTTTGTGCAAAATATTTTCAAAAGGGCCGCCACTTTCATACCAACCAAAGTAATGAGTACTACTGTTTGAAATGATGGAAGACTTATTAAGTGTATCCATAGAATATATCTATCTCACATATATCTCTCTCTTGTTTTCTCAGATGTGTGCCTTGTAAAATACAAAGTGGCTGCCTGATGTGGATTTTTTTTCAAAAATCATAACATTTTCATTTCTAAAAGTACAAGTACATGTAGATTCATTTTTCTAATTCAAGTCTCGGAAAGTCCAAAATGACCACTCAATGTTGGAATTTGCATTCATTTGAGATATTTTTCAAAGTATGGGTATATTATACTCAAATTGAATACTTTATTTTAGATCACAAATATTGTATCATTTTTTATTACTTGAGTCTCTAGCCAATACTTGGCTAGAGGGGATTTCATCTGGAATACTGTGAACTCTATTGGAAAAAAGCTGGCTGTGGTGTCATAACATTATTGAATATTTTGAAAATCGGCAGATAAATAAATCATTAATCAAACCGGACCCAGCTCGGCTCCTTGATGAGATATGACATGATTTCATCAGGATTTCGTCTAAAATTAAAACAAAATGGCTCCAAGAAAAATGGCGATGTTCGAAAACTGGACGAAATGTCGTTAACGTCTGACATTAGTAACTGGCTGTAAATTCTAAGTTAGCGATCCAGAAGATGTGAACTAATACACTGATCACTTTATGTGTGTTTTGGAATTTTTGGTGAGGTAATAAGACCAAAACTCGCAATTCAAATTGTGATGTGGAAAAATGGCGGACATATGATTTCAAATTTTATGATTACGACATGACCAGTTGTTCATGCAGGAATATATCTGTACTGGAAGGCCACGATACAGTGGCCTTAGAAGAAGATAAATTTTTTATGTTATTTGTGCTTCAGAAAATCTAAAACAGCCACTCAATGCAGAGATCTCTTTGAAATATGGCTATATCATACTGAAATATTATGTTGTGAAATATAATATTTGTTGGGATTTGCTTCTCTGTGGAGTTGCCATTTCTAATTATGTTTGTTATTATCACTATTACAATGTAGGGGCTTTATATTGGGAGATTATATCTTTAACAAAAATAACTTGAATAAAACAGGTATGAATAAAATACATATAAAACTACCAGTAAATTTTCAGGTAATTGTACTGCTACCAGTATATAAAGCTAATAATGCATAAATACCTGTCAATAATAGATACTTACCAATATGTTGCCCGCCAAAGTAGCATGATGGTACATGTATATCATATACATATGAAGGTGAATGTAGAATGGTATACAGGGTGTCAAATGGCGTTGTGCCCCCCTTCCACAGCATTAACTAGGAGAAGTACACATACATTATATATATCATTAGAAAGAGCATTCAATTCTGGATAAAATGAACCCTAGATGACCATGGTCAGATATTGCATCAAAGTTTCATGAGCATTTGAAATGCACCAGTATAGTGCTATTTTTATTGATTTTTAAAAATTCCTGCATAGACCTTTTTGGTATTGGTGAATACCCAAGCAACAACTCTGACTTAAATGCTTCAGTTCAAATTGAGCCCATATTAATGGATAAAACACAGCTACTTATGGAAGTTGAAGCTGTAGAAAACAGATATTCCATAGATATCCTTCAGGAGAACCTCAAAAAGTATTGAGATCTCTGCTCAAGACACTGCTCTTTTCAATGCCCCTTTAACTTGATATCCAGCCTGACTGGCAGCCGTTTAAAGCTGCGAGGGATAGTCAAACTCTCTTTTAAAAGTTGGTCCAAATCATATATTATTTTCTATCATCCATCTTCATCTTTTCACACTCTAAGAACAATTAAATGCTCTTTCCAATGGTATATAGTATGCATGTGTACCTCTTCTAGTTTATGCTGGGGATAGGGGGCACAACGCCATTTGACACCCTGTACACATAATAACAGCATATGAAGGTATACTGGTACATTGTAATGAAAGTTTCACTTTGCAAATTTACAGGTTCAAGAACAAAAAAAAGATAATCTATTTCAGCCCAGATTTTTAAAAATGTAAAACTCATGTAACTTTCACATAGAGACAAAAGTAACGTTGGTCCTCTGTTTAAGACTTCAACTTTTTATTAATCTATGTGATTGTTTTTTACTGTCACTAGCAGCAGGTGTCTTCAAGAAAAAACAAAAGGAGAACGAGCATTTTAGATATAGCACACCTTTTTTAAGAACAAAATCTTTGAAACATACATTACACAACTCAAAATTATACAAAATGAAGTCCTTGCAAAATATGAATTCTTCTAAAGTACAAAATGCTCCCTTTCAACCTTCTAACTCTTTTATTTATTTTGTGTACAATGCTTTACAAGATGCATTTCAAAAAATCAAACAAAACATATGCTCTGTTGTTTTTTGTAATAAATTTGACAATGGATCATTATTTCCTTCAATGGCCACCTATTGTCATTGAACATGCAACAGTTTAACATTTAGAATCCACAATATCTTTTCAACTATATGTAGTACTCAAAGTTGCAAATGTACCTTGTCCTTTATAAAAGATGATTTCAGTTATACAGTTAACCTACTGTCAGATCATTGCTTAAGATCATCTCTTTTGTTGTTCAAAATAATATGCCCCCATGACAGCATTATTTGACACTCGACACTTTCCTTTTTCAGCAATTTTCTTGCAGCACTGATTCAGACAATTGGAGGTAAACTATGATTTATATTACCTGTCTCTATTATGATACAGTGACATTAACTACTCTAATTCTTCAAGTTCACAATGACTTGTTTTTAGTAAAAAAGGACTTAACTTATACAGTATCTTATAATTTCCAGTTAAATGAGTTAATTGAAGATACAAGGATTGTTATAAATGTAATTGATGTAATTAAGAGCGTCCACACCCACCCCTTTTTTGTTGTTTCTTTCACGACTTTAAATTGATTAATTTTGGTTGTTAGTCATTTGAGTGGTTTTGATTCTGTTCTATTTCCAACTATTGCCCAACAGACCTTGTTAATTTTTCTCTTGTTTAACTTTAGATTATGAGTTTCAAGTTGGTGTAATAGAGTGCTTATTCAGGCTGATCCAGAAGCCACAGCGGGAATGCTTCGCTAAATTTTGGTTCAGTGACAAAGGTGTTCAGAAAGCTTTTCTGGATGTTAGGGATTCAGACTTTGAAACGGTACTTCTTTCCTCTTAATTAACCTTGAAGCACATGTGTGAATTACTTATTATTATCATTATATATATCATGGGCTTTCAATTAGTTGAAAGCCCATGTATATATATATATATTACTATTATTATAGTCATGTACATAAGTTGTTAACTAGATAGTTTGAATTAAATAAAGATAAATATTAGATGAAAAAATAAAAATGTAAATAGACATGTCTATTGTACCAGCAAATAGATGATACATTGTATATCAGAGATGCTATTGCATTTACCCTTCAGTTTTATGTCTCGGGTAAAGGTTATTTTATCGACATTATTTGTGTAATGCTATTTCACATTTATTTTAGCATCATCATTATCATTGATATGAAATTAACTTTCTCTTGTAGGATTGTAGGGAGTTTTTAAACCACCTAAATGAAACTACTTTCCCAAGAAAGTAAGACATAAAATTATAGTAGTAATTGATAGATCTTTGCAAAAGAAAAACTATCATTGTTCGGAATCATATCTCAAAATAACATTTTATTGTAATTGCTAATTAGACAATTATAAGAACATTACCAATATTTAATTATTTTTACCTCAGACAATTGAAATATCAATTAGTGGAATAATTTGCATGTTTAGAAGGTGCATGTTTTTTACAGTGTGTTTAGTATTCCCTGTGATGCTGCCTACTTAGGAAGTATTCAACTAGAAAAACCACAAGATGCCAAATATTCAGAATTCTGGGTGGATTTTAATTGTGGGAGCAGAAGGATTACAATATTTTGTAATCAAGAGCCTTCAGAAAGTCAGGTCATTATTCTTGTTTTATTTTACTAAATGGTAGAACCCATATAGTAGAGGAGGTCTCTTAAGTTGCAAAAGTCTCTTTCATTCATCCAAAATTGGACCTCTTTTTATGTCATTGCCACAAATGGTGACATATTTTAACTGTTATGGTCTCCAACTTTTTGTGGATGCTGTTCTGCAGTTGGTCAGTGTTGGTGTTCATTGGTCGGTCATTTTGCATGTTTATGCCTTGTTTATTATTAGAACAGACTTTTAACACTTTTAATCTGTAGAAAACCCATGAAAATAAGCCGATAAATTGGGAACAATTCAGTCCAAAATATACAAATCTGAAAAAGTATCCAATTTCCTGAATTTTGCTCATTCAATTTAACTTTATTATTATTATCATGTTTCAAGTTTTTAAATCAGATATTCAAAGGGCCTAGTACTTCTTTTGATAGCGTGAATCATTCCCCATTGTCATATTCACTTTTAGTTGAATTGATTAAATTCTTTTCATTCCCTCATGTTTGGAATTTAAACAAGTTTTTCACAATGCTGCCATCTTTCAATGAAATAAAATCTTTCTTGACTAAATATTTAGAACCAGGCTTTGTGAATATGAATAATTTAATCAATGAATAAAAAATTCACATTGTGTGAAGTGAAATTATTGTATTGCTGCTTTTTTCAAAATATGCATATACTATAGTATTCTTTACTCTTTGGAATGATTGGTATTTTCATCAAACTTATTATTGGTTAAATAACTTTTGTTAATTGTTCACTGTGATACAGTCATCTATGCAATATTAGAATACATGTGGTAACAATTTCTGTGTTAAAAATCATGATATTAAAACCACCTTGTAATTTTAGACAAGATTTATTTTATATTTTGTATATACTATTGTATATTATAACTGCCCTATCCAGTTAGTATTTTTATCTAAAACCTAATGAAGTCTTTAAGTTTTGACAATTCATGGAAAAATTCAAAATGGCTACCATTTATATTGCGGAAAAGTCACATTGAGATTTGAGAACCATAACTTAAAGAATTATAATCGCTTTAATTTAGATTAAAACCTTCCAATATGTTCTCATATGTTAAACCAATGAGTTTTTAAAGTCTGGACAAAACTGGTAATAAATGTATATGATTTGATACATTTTCGAAGAATCATCGTCAGCTGCACTTATAATAATTCCTATAATTCTACTCTTGTATATAAATGCTATAATGCACATAAATTCTTTATACAAGTACATTGTATATCATGTTATGTAGGAGGAGGAGGAAGATGAATTGTTGTGGGAGACTGTGTCAATTCATCACAAGGTGGTTGAAAAATACAGTCTTGAAGACAACATAGTGAAGCTTTACCTCAAGCACCCTGTCAGGGATCTGATCAGTTTTGGCCCTATGATACCTGATACAGTGGTGACCATTGCCTTCCAGCCACATTGCAGCATACAAGGGGCCCTTGATGGCACATTGAAAACTCCAAATAAGGTAAATGACAGAACCTGATTTTAAATGTATTTGAGATGCAACAGGATGAAGATAAGTGCAACAGTATTTCTGTATGTGTTTGTACTTGTATGTTGACTTCATTCTGGAATAGTAGAGGTGTCATAGGTCAGGTATTCGTTGGGTTGGGCCAGAAAAAAGTGTTCAGGTCGGGTAATTTCGGGTCGGGTCAAAAGACAACAGAAAAATGAATTTAGTACTAGCAACTGAAATGACTGGGTGAGTATACGGCACATTATAAGACTGTTTAAGCCTGCATTACTGCATGTTATGCTTTGATAAAGGAAAATGATAGAAACCTAGTATTAAATCGTAGAGAAGGGGACTTTAAAAGCCCAATGGAAAGTTTAAGAATATTTTTTCATCATCCAAGTTCTATTTGTCATGACTTAAAGAAATTTCATTTGAAAAAATGTCGGGGGGCATATCATTTTTCTCTCTTAACAATATTGAATGCATTTAAATAAGAATTTGACATTTAGTAGATAATTGAATGACCTAATCTCTAATAAAATTAGACTGATTGGGTAATGTTAAGTATGCCTATAAAATTTTGTCCATTCCTTTTAATCACCCCTCGTATATTAAACTAAGTAGCTAATGCAAAATAATTCTATGTTGCCTGTGTGAGTTGAAAAAAAATTATCATATTTTGTGTCATTGGTTTCATTGAGAACTAAAACTTTACAAAGTACTTTCTTTGAACAACTTGTTTGTGCATATATTTTTCAAACAATTATCCAATTTCTTTAGCATAAAAGTGATTAGAATGTATATACTGTATTATGCCTTGGTGTAAAGTACTTAATAATAGGTGTTTGTTACAGCTAATTTAAAAAAAATAAAAATCGCAGTTTTTCTTACAAAAAGAAAAGGTTCAGATCACTTTTTTATAATTATAGCCCTATAGGTCCAAAGTCCCAATAAGTCCCTATAAGTCCAAAGTGGTTAAAACTTAAAACTTGATTTTGAAGGGTTTTATATTCAAAAAAATTATATATTTCAAATAACATATTAGTTGTCATGCAAATGCATTGTAAGTTATAATTTACACCATTGCATAACAGACATCCTTACCTATTTTGTTTAAAAATAAAGAAAATTGTTTGAAAATGCAAGAAAAGTACACAAAGGTGGCCATTTATATATATTTACATAGATATTTTCAAAACATGATGAAAATTTATTTTCAACCTAGAGATAAGCCAACAATATTGCTTTATAAAAAATTGATAATATTTCAAAGAATATTTTACCACCTGAGTGACATCACAGCATATCATTGTGACATCAAAGTTTGAAAAGGCTTTAAAAGTTTATATATGCATAAAATCATAGATTGAGTAGTTGAAATGATATGATTTTTTGGCTGATCTATTTAAAGGAGTAGAGAAAATAGTGATAAGTGTCATATTTGATGATCTAATTGTTTTTAAAATGGAGGGAAATTCAAATATATAAAAATATAAGAAATATTCAAAAATGAATTTTTTAAAAAATGTCTCAAATGGTTTAATAGGTCATGAAAAATAGAGAGTTTAAGCTACCACTTTTTTTCACAACCTAAACGCGAACGCTAGTTATTTAAGCGATGTATTTGTATGGGCGATTGGTCATACGTATAGGTTGGCGATTCGATTTTATATGCAAGCTTAAACTCACTTATGATATTTGAGTGCTTAAACTATATTTTCAAACTTTACACTGGTCTTTTCATATGGGGCTTTTAACCTGTTTGAATCAATATCCTTTCATTGCTGATCTATTCTAGGTTGCTTAAGACTGGATAAACAAAAAAAATATGCGGATATTTTGTGTAAAGATCTTCTCTTTAATATGTCTAAGTGAGCATGTTTGCTCACAAATAAATTATTGCAAAATAGTTTTTGTCCTTATAGAGATTTATCCAAAAAGTCAAGCTTGAGTCACTTTTTCTCTTGGAACTAGATCATGTGACCTATATACTTTTGGCTTTTGTGGTTGTTTTAAATGTTAGTGTTTCCTTTATTAGGTTGATGACCTTGTTTAAAAGTACAATTCTTATTAAAAAATATGGGTTCCAATAATAGTTTTTATTATTTATTGTTATTATATGATAAAATACATGAATTAACATTTATTAGTTGTCAATTGTAAAACGTTTTGTGAAATGTGATTGCTGTATGATTATGCATTCAATTTCTTTTGTTATATGGGACTGTTGATGAAATATTGAATGTTTTTTAACTGCATGCAACCATCAGTTTTGCATATTATTCATGTCAGGGCCAAATTCTTGTATGTGGTTTTGTTTAACCATACTGGTACATTGTATTTCAGTTTAGGTCATTGCATGTGTTACATTTTTTTTTCTGTTTAAATACTTAATTGAATCATCAAATAAAATTTTGAAATGTATTTAGAATGTAAACCTGCACACATACATAACTCCAGTAAATCACTTTTAATGTGGCATTTATGTTTTTATTTCATGAAATAGTCACGCCTAACCATCGCGTAAGCAGGCGTCACCGTACAGCGTCAAAAAATACAGTAGTACAGTTTTCTGTACGGTGACGAAATTTAACTTAGTTGAAGCAAAAACTATAATGAGGGTTTTAAAAAGATTAATTAGACGTAAATAAATACGATTTCGGGTGTAATAAAAACAGCATTCTCTTAAGAATGGTTTTAACTTTCTAATTATGACAAAAGTTTTTCGAGCACTGCTCGGATTTTTTCTGACTGGATCGGCCCACATAATCGACTCGAGAGAAATTTTTTTTTTTTTCACTTTTCGTTTGGTTATTATTTTCCCTGTCGTCTGAGAGTATGGATTATTTTTATGAGAATATGTATTTGTTATCTACACATTTTAGAACAGATGAATATTCGGCAAAAAATCATTCAGTGTATTTATTCAAAAAAGATCAGAACTGTACGGTGACGCATCAGCTGTACGGTGACGCTTCCTTAGATTTTATGAAGAGCTCTAAGCTTACTGTTCGAACAAGAGGTAAAGAAGCGTCAGATCTACATGTAAATTGTCACTGGTAAGTATCAAGCGAAGGTTACAGCCGTCACCTTCGCATTTAAGATGGCGGACAGGAAGTATCAATTTCGATAATTTTAGTTTTCATGGAATTAACTATTTCAAAGTTGACGTAATGCTTTGGTATCATTTGAACTAAACCAGACTTTTCTCATTTGACTAACAAAGATAGCCTACACAGCCATCTTTACCCCATGCAATATATTGCATCTTTCATCCTAAAAAGTCACACATGCAAGATGAGATTTACTTGTGACATCCCTTGTTTTAAAACATCAATAACATAGCAACAAGAGAGTTTTTGGTTTCATTATCTTTACCGTATCATACATTTCCAGTAACCTTCCGTTATGTATGTAACGGCGCTATATATGAACAAATGATCATACTCCAGAGTTTCCATTTCATACAATCTTAGTCTCATTTAGTTCATCAAAGCATGGCGTCACCGTACAGCTGGTGCGTCACCGTTCAAATTTGATCTTTTTTAAATATACATAATGCATGGTTGTTTGCTGAATCTTCGCCCGTTCTAAAATGTGTAGTCAATAAATACGTTTTCTCAAAAAAATAATCCATACTCTCAGACGGCAGGGAAAATAATAACCAAACGAAATGTGAAAAAACAACCTTTTTTCACTTGGGTCGATTATGTGGGCCGATTCACTCAGAAAAAATCCGAACAGTGCTCGTAAAACGTTTATCATAATCAGTTAGTTAAAACCATTTCTAAGAGAATGCTGTTTTTATTTCACATGAAATCGTATTAGTTTTCATCAAATTAATTTTTTTTAAACCCTTGTCATAGTTTTTGCTTCAAAGCAGTTTAATTTGCGTTACCGTACAGAAAACTGTACTCCGCTATTTTTTGACGCTGTACGGTGACGCCTGCTTACGCGATGGTAAGGCGTGATAGTGCCAATCTTGAAAATTGAGAAGCGATGGAGTGATATCCTTCAAATTATTAACCTTGCCCATTTGCACATAAATATAACTTTAGATGGATAATCCAACAGTCTCTTGTGGAAATAATGAAGATAACCAGGAAAAACAATTCCTTAAATTTGTGGGGCTCTACGGGGGATATTTTCAATATTATTTAGTTAAGATTCTTGGTTCATTTTAGCTATATTTACCGTAAACTCTCCAGTATCAATCCATATCAGTATTGTAAAAATATGTTGTTATTTCGTTCTGATGTTGCAAATAATCCATTCTTTCCAAGGAAAGTTTCCCTACATGAGCCTTTGACTTCTTCCATGTATCGGTGTTTATTAGAATGGTCTAAAGGAGGTATTTTTGAATTTTCTATATGCCCGTGTGCTAATCCCAGGGAATATGGTACATCTGTTAGTACAGATTTTTTAAATGACATGGGGTATCTCAGAATTATACTTGAACAATGAACCTGACTGATTTTAATTTTAAGCTTTTATACAATGAATGAATACATAGATCCTATGAATTGAGTGCAATACATGTTTATGCTTTTTGTTTTTTCTTTTGGACTGTTTCTTTTATAGCCCCCATGCTGCCATAGTGATATTGGTGAAATATCTTCATTCTTCAATGTACCAAGCAATAGCTGTTATAATGAGCTTTTTAGCATACAAGAAATTGCCACATGATTATTATTATATTGTAATGCAAATTCTGATTTATAGGCATTGCCTTGAATGTCTTTTACACATTTAATCGTTGATCTTATTTCTAAAGATTAGTTTTGTCTTCAGATTGGTCAAAAGGTATCCAGGTCAATCCAGTCCATTCATGTGAACTTGAAAACTACGGAAAATGAAGATGACTACCAGGCATGTACTCATACATAATATCATTGGCTTTTAAGGGATCCTGAAATCCCATGATAATAAGTGTGGAAGAATAGAATATTCATTTATTAATTAGAGGTCATCTTACCTATAAATTAAATTGATAATAATGAGAGGATTAACATAATTATTGATTTAAAAATTGCTTTGGAATATTATAAACCAATTTATTGTTCAGAACTATGTCGTTGAAATGTGTGTTTTGCAGGTGTATTCTATTCTAAAGGTTACTGTTTATGTCTGATTTCTTCTAGATTCCAAGTTCTATTGCTGATGAACAGACTGATATGGGAAATCTTTGTGATGACCTAGCCAAGAGAATTGCTGATAAACTTACTACTAAGGTTTGAATTTAAATAAGAATTAAAAAATCTTGTAAATAACAGTATGAAACCAATAAGGTTCTCGTCCCCAGAGATGAAAATATATTTCACTCAAATAAATCTTAATGGTTATATTATTTTGAATTTGAGCAATCCCAAATATTTTGAAGTGAAGATAGAGGTGTATTAATTATTATTTTGATTGCAATGACATCATTTCTGCCCAAAGTATCAGTTACCTGTAGGTAGACAGGAAAGTTATTGTTCTCAAAATGTTATATTTTGTCATACTTTCTAATGTATACATACCAATAACATTAGAAATTTAACCTTAAACAATTCAGGTTGGAAAACCATGCCCAAGACAACCAAAAGTATCGATGCCTTTACAACCAATGGCTATATCAGCTAGATATAACAGAAATATTGAGGTTTGTTTTTCATTTATAAATCTCACCACATTTTGCTGATATATGAATAACAATTCAAATCAGAAATTACCATATTATAGATTATAAGACTAGTATGCCATCTTTTTAGCTTGAATAAGAACATATCTGTAGTATATCATACATGTAGTAGTGAATCCTTGTATCCAGATGCCAACAACAACCTCCAGCACGCAACATACTGCAAGTAGCAACACTTCATCAGGTCGAAGCACTAGTCTTCTGCAATCCAAACCACTGGAAAAATCTTCTCAACCTAATTCTAAGAGTCCAGACAAAGACAGGGGTATGTTTAAGTAAAATCTACAGGGTGGGCCAAAAATATCCATATATATGCAAAGGTTTCAATAAATCTTTGCAGGAAATGCAGAAATCCCTTTTGCAATTGTTCCTGAAAAGGGATAAATAATTGAGCAGATCGTTGTTCCCTCTTCAAAAGAGGAGACGCGAAAATCTTTCCTAATAAGGTCAAAATATTTCCCACTGCAATGCAGTTCGCGGAGGAACAAATTTATACTTCCTTGTTTTTCCCCCATAGGTTTAAGATGGGGATTTTCACACCTATTAAATCTTGAGGGGTTTCTAAATAAGAAATGTTGACAGACCTAAGGGGTCTCAATGAAAATACACAAATGTCAAGATAATATTTTTAGTCATGCTACAAATTTACTATCCAGTCTGTCAGAGTCACATAGGGCAGAAATTATTTCCAGAAAAATTTAATATTTGAAGTATCATAGCAAAAATAAGTAAGATGAAGAAAAACTGACTTAATCGGTATTAAGAAAAGGTGAATTGGAAAATCTGCTTGTACTTTCCCCAGATCTTAATTGTAGATATGAAGATCAGTAAGGTGCTAGATTTAGCCCACAAATCAAGAACTTATTTTTTCAGTGTCTTTTAGGACTCAGATTATACTTTGCTAATCTTCCTGAATATTTGGCTCATTCTTTTTCCAGTTCCATTTTTCTTCATATTGAGCCAGTCTATTTAATCTTCCTTATTGGTCTCACTACCCTACAAATGCTTCAATTTTTTTAAATATAAATTACAATATACATATAACATGCTTTCTGACTGGCTGTATGGGATGTCAATTTGAGCCACAACCAATATCTGAGACAAATTGTTGCTTTGTATATTTTCAGTTAGACCCTAATGTCTGTTAACCTTTCAGAAACCCCTGTACATTTATTTATTTTATTTCAGGAATATTTGATTTCTGCATCTCCATTCAAAATACTGTAAAGATATATGCTTTATCGAAACTGTTATTAAACTGTAACCCTAAATGAAAAATACAGACCCTGAATTACTGTGGTTATTTTGCATAGTTGTATTTGTAAAATCCAGTAAATACATGTAGTTCTGCAACTAATCATGTACATCTCAATGTGCAGCTCCTGCAGGTTCTAAAACTCCCAAGTCCTGTCATGGTGTGAGACGTGTGAAAACTCCACTTGTAATGGCCCCTGTGCCCGTAGAAGTGAAGAAGCCGGTTTCCCCTGACATGTCTCTTGATATTGCTGAGAGAAGGCTGAAAGTTAGTGAGGCAATAGCACATGCCTCAGAGGATGAGGAGGATGAAGGTGTGCAATAGCTCTTATTTTACTACCACTTGTTTATTTAATACTATTATTTATATTATTAAAACAATCTTTAATTACATACTTCTATTTGTAATTTTATAGCACAAGATAATGTTCTAATAGCAGAAAATAAACACAAAATTAAGCGGCATTTTATCATTCATGACATGAACATTTATTGGATAATTAATGGCAATTACAGTGAGAATGCTATACACTATTCCCAAATTGCATACTTATGATAATATATCTGCTCATAATTTTTGTAGATGTTCAAGAGTGTGATGTGGACACAATACCAGATTCATGTCCTGTTGAGATTAATGTTTCCAGTCAACCTATCACAGAATCATTGTCCAAAGAAGAAAAAATACAACAGGTAACTATGTATTTACTTGATCAAGGGAAAAACATGAAATGTTGGTTTGCCATCCCCTTGGTTTTAGGTAATCCACAATCCACATACAATCACAGCAGAATTTTACACAATTGTTATTTTATGCTCCCAGCCATATTCATAACCTTTCACTTATGTCCTTTGTATATTATGTTATGCAGGTGGCCAAATTAAAAGATAAAATCTTGATAGAGGACCCCAACTACACAGGATATAACAAGACAGTATATTGTGCAGCAAAGAGCCCAGCATTGAGTAATATTACTGAGGAGGGGACTATCACATCTAATGATAAGACACCAAAATCAGTTTCAGGGTTGGCAACAATTAAAGGTACTAATTACAGGACCGAGATAATCTTGGGATATAAACTGTGTTCAATAAAGCAACAAAGTGCCTAACCTTTTTATTAGCTCACATGGTGAGCTATTGTTATCGCCCACTTGTCTGCCTGTCCGTCCATCCGTCTGTTTGTCAACACATTGGCAGCTAATTCAAAATCCTCCAAGACAATTGGAATTTTTAAAATGTGTCTATATAAGGTTGTCAATTGTTCCATGAGTGGCATCTCAAAAGCTTGCTATTCAAAATGGCGGTAAATAATAATAATGTCTACGAGCTTCAGTAAAATATGTCGTAAAGATTCAAAATGGCTACCAATTTTATTGTAGAAAAATCAGGTTTTTAGCTTTTTTGTCATAAATTCACAATTACATCATCAGTTTGCTTGAAATTGTACAAATTTATAGGTTAGCAATACTTTGTTTACAAGTTTAGGCAAAATATGTTGCAAATTTCAAAATGGCCGCCACTTTTAATGCAGAAAAATCATGTTTAAAGCTACCTTTTAGTGTGTTTGTGAAATTCCTCTGTTCCAGCTTCATTATGAAAAAGGGTATATTAGCTTGGATCAATAAATACCAATGTTTTTAATTACAGCTAGCCAAGTACTTCTACAAAAATATTTTCAACCTTTAATAATGTGCAAAAAACTTTAATTATTCTTAGCTCCCACTGTCAAACATTAAAAACATTGTAACCTTCCCATGTGAGTGCAGTACCCATGGTACTATTTTATTATTACCTCATTTAGTGAACATGAATAAAAGGATTGAGTTGGGGCTGGAACACCCTGACAGTTTGGATATGAAAGGGGCTCACAGCCTTTTTCTAATTCTAAAATATGCCAACATTTGTTAAGAATAATTTGTCGCTTGCACAATAAATTGTTACAAACCAAGAAATTATAAGTGGTTCATGCACCCCTTATAATCTGCATTAATCATGCTGCTTACTTGTTGAGCAAATTTGTCAAGCCTTTATGTTTTCAAGAAAGAAACTTTATATTAAAGTATGTTGATGTTGCAGGCTCTTACATGTTACATAGAATTTGTTTTTTAGAGTCAATTGTCCAAGACCAGAGTTATGAAAACTATATATTAATATTGAATAACACAAAACATAATTTGATTTATGCTCTAAATGATTCACTCTACCTTAATTCTTTAGAAGATGGGTCCCAGAAGAGTGTTGATGATTTCAAAGAGAACACACAACAGCCTACAAAGAGAAAAGGTGCAACAAAAAGAGGACGAGCTAATAAGGGCAAGAAATCCAAACCCAGAGCGGCACCAACAACAAGAGCAAAGAGGGGAAGGAAAAACAAGTCAATCAAGGACGAGATATCAGGAGAGTCTGATGATGATGACATTGGGGAGTTAATAGTTGAAGTAGAAAAACAACCAAATCCAGTGATGGATGAATCACATAAACATAAAGATTTGGAAGTAGAACACACTGAACTGAATGATTTTAGTCCTGAAATTGATAAAATTGATAGATCATTTGGATTTGAGACAGATGGTGTTGATGAAAAACAGACAACAAGAGCAACAAGAAGCAGGTCTGCAAAAAACAAAGCAAAATTGCCACAAGCTATTAAAACATGTAAAGGTCGTGAATCAAATAGAACTGTTGAAGATAATGAATCACAGAGTAATACAGAAACTAAGAAAGAAGGCAATACCCAGAATAAGCCAAAACCCAAAAGGGTCAAACAAAGTAAGTTTAAACCTCCAGCAAAGACATTTGAAAAGACAGAGGCCATTAAATCATCCATTGATATACCTGAAAATATGCATGATAACTTTGACTTCATGGAGAGTCAATATAGTCAAACAAGTCAGATCAAGAATTCTTCTCCAATTAATTTATCCTCACCACCTGCCAAAAAAGATGGAACTGGTGAACAAAAACAGGTATTTGCATCTCTTAATAATTCATCACAGAAAGTACCCAAGTTCTTCAAATCTAAATATAAAGCTGAGGTTGGTGTAACTCCTTCTCAAGCATCCGCTGATATGTTTGACTTTGAACCTGATGCAGGTAGAAAACAAGGACATCCTCTTTGTTCTTCTAAAGCTGATATTGATATATATGGGAACTGGAACAAACAGGAAACCTCAAATGCCCATCGAAATAACCTCAGTAAAGCAAAATATAGCTACATGGAATCAAACAATGAGTTGGGGAAACAGAAAAAGGAAGCTGTGCAAAAACCTAAACAGGCTAAAGTTAAAGGACATAAGAAGAAAACCTCATCAACAAATGAGGACATTACAGCTGTGTATCAGGACCCAGCAGAGGATGCTCAGAACACTGAGGAGGTTCCATTCTGTAGTAAAAAGATAGATAAATCTAGAAAGCCATTAGCAAACATTGAAAATCATCAAAAAATAAAAAGCAATGACTCTTATCAAGTAAGAGATATCTCTATAGAAAGAAATGAACCTCAATCAGCTCATGAAAAAATCAATGAAAAGAAACAAAGGCCTACAGAAAATAACATCCAGAACAAAGATCTATCTCTTGATGAAAAAAGGCAGTTGATTGCATCAAGGAGTGAATCTCTCAAGAAATACAGAGAGAAGAGATATGGTGAATCTGAAAGTCACCAAAGGTAAGGAGAAGGTTTAAAGGACCATCAAAACTATCAAAATATTAACTTTTCCATATGTATTATTTACTATTAAGATAAATGTGCGGTATTAGTTAACGTCTATTTCTCTCATTTGTTTCAGGTATAAAAACGCTAATAAATTTATATTACAGTAATTGGCTAAGAAAGCATTCAATACATGGGTAGATACTAGTATTAAATTCCATAGTATAGAACTTTGAGTTTCAGAAGATGTATTGAAAAGGAAAGAAAAGATCTATCAGGGATTAGTGATGGTTGCCCAGAGATAGATGAAACCTTCAATGAAGAAGCAGAAGATGCTGATGTGTCAAATATTGATGCTGAAGAAAATGCAGTGGCCAACTTTGCCAAGATCTGTCAGGTTGATAATGATTGATACACCATCAAATTCAATACCAATATTGTTTAATTTAGAATGATTGTCTGATTTTGGGTTGTACTCAAGGTGAATTTGGTAATATAAACACAGTATAAAGATTTTATTGTGGTGCTTTTTCTTCTAGTTTTCATACAAACAGAAAATGTTAAAAAATATTTAAGGGATTGGTAGCCAGCTCATCAATGAACAAAGCACCAGCAGAGAGAAGCAAACGTCCACGGAAGAAAGTAGATTACACTGAGAAATCTGAAAGGTATGTGTACATGCCATTTTCAATAAAACATTCAGTCAGTAATTGTGTGTGGAGAGAAATGTTTCAAGATCAAAATATATCAACAGTAATCGATACCTTGTATTACATTGTTTCAGTGATATTGGGTCAGTCGTGAGTAGCTTCAATATATCTGCACATTCCAGAAAGAAAGAGTCTCTACCTGAAGCAAAGGTACATCTCATAACTTTACATACAAAGATTGGATAGTAATGGTGGGGTCCCACTGAGTAAATTATATTCCTTCCAGATTTCTTTTACTTCTTTTTGACTGACCTCTGATGAAATATTGAATGTTTAGGCTATTTTATTAAGATTTTAATTTTGATAAAAAAAAACAGCCTATCCAGGTCTCCTTCAATTTCTCATATTCCAGAAAATGAAAAGAAATGGGGCAAAGAAGAATATATTCTCAGATACAGATGAGAATAATGAGACAAGGAGTGAGGCAAGTTGGCTGACATCATTGGGCCGCAAGAAGAAACCAAAACCAAAGTCATCCTACTCACACAAAAGCAAACTTCAAGCAATAAAATCTAAACTAGCTGCTGAGCAGGTTGACAACCATATGGAAGATATGATCTCATTCTATGATATGGAAGTACCAAGTGACCAGGTTCGCATGTGCTGCATATTTCAGTGATGAAAAGACTCAGTATTCTTGGAGTGATATAATACACAATAGTTGATCCCTGAAAGTGCATGATTGTGAACATAAATTCATTGTTGTTTTGTTGCTGTGGACTATGCGGTCCTTGGGAAGTCTTTTTTAAATGTCTAAAATAACCAGTGTAGTCTAATAGTGTTTTCTGCACTGTATGTCATAATAGAGAAAATTATTTTGGAATTGTTTTCTGGATGTTTTTTGTATTGCTTGAAATGTTCTTGGTGTTTTCAGGAATGTGAGCTTCCCATGAGAAAGAAGAAGAAAGATCAAAACAATTTAGATGTTACAAATGAAATGACCAAATCCCCTAATCTTCACTATTCTGAATCTTCAGTAAAGCAAAAGCAGAAACAGACTATAAGCAGGTCCCCCAAACAGAAGAAAAAAATATTCAAAGTAGGTTTCCAACATTTAAACATGTACTCTGTCTCTGAAGATATTACTAGATAACTCACAATAAATAGTGATTGTTCCTCATAATCCAATCTACTGTAAATTGTTACTGTTGAAATGCAACCGTAATATTAGGTTAGAAATATTACCATGACACTAATTTTGCTCATTGCTTGTAGCCCAGAAGTGACCTTTTTGAAGCCACAACATCGCATGTTGAGAAGACCCCCAAAATATCAGCAAAGTCTAAATCCAGACAAAGACAATATGGTTCTCTTGATGTTCAGATCTGCAAGACTCCAATCACTCCAAAAACCTCAGATAGATTGAACTGTAAGTACTAAAACGATTGATTCTAATGTTTGTGTTTGATATTCCCCAAAATATAATTCAGATATTGGTTCCTAGTTTTTATTAGACATATTGTTATTATGTCACCACCACAAGTGGACTGTGGCTTTTGTAACACATGGTTTCTGTAACAAATAGCAGGTGGTGACATTTTGCATGTTATAATGCCTTGTTAGGTACTTTTTATTGTATCTTATTAATATGTTGTAATTCTGATTACTTTGTTCTTTAACTGAGATGATGTTTTTATAATTTTTTTTTAATTACAGGCATGTCTGAATCTGATGGTGAGACGGCCTTTACTCAAGAAATGAAGATATCTACATTCTCTGAGGTAACAATTATATTTTTCATCGTTTATAGTCCATTCATTTATGAAATTTGCCCTGTCTCTACATGTCAGCATTGAAGCAATTATACATCATTCTTTTATGAAATGTAACATTGAGCTTATTGAATCAACTCTTATTCAATGATATTTTACTCTTTTTTGAAAACAATTTAGAATATTAAACCCACCAGTTAACATATCATAAAAAGAATTAAAGCTGGGGGTTCTTAAAATCAGTTTCTTAAAGACAGCCTCTTCAAATATTTGCTGATATTCATATTATAGGGAATCTAAGCCATCTCTTTTTTCATTTAAATTCAGTTAAATGCCTCACTTTGAACTAATGAAAAGAAACACGAAGGAAGGTGATTTACAGCCAGTTACACAAAGATCTAATATTTTCATTAATTTATAGTTTACAATAACAATTGTAAAGATAAAAATGCTAAGTTTTTGAATCAATATTATTCAATTGAATAAAATTTGATTAATATCATTAAGATTCTTTATTAAATCTCTAATTTAAAGTACATCTCCCGTGGGTGGCAAACATGGATTAGATCAATGTTGGAATGTCATGAAAAAAACACAAACTTAAGTGGTCTTTGTAGTGAGGTACTTGAAATCCGCAATCAATTTGAAAAATATTTTTTCGTATTGCTCATTATTGTTACATGTTTACATATGTATTTCAATGAGCTTTACACACATGGCAATATTTATTTATATAAGAGTACTTGGCTTGGTTGTTCAGATCCCATATACATCATATGAGACTGTGGGGTGTTGCACAACAAAAACACGTGGCCAATCAAGGAGTCGTGTCTCAGTTTTTTATGCATAAAGTGTGAAGTATATACCAAAATCAATGGTGAACAAAAGACAATATCATCATTATGATAATCAATACCTCTCTCAATTCTATCATCAGACCTCCCAAACACAACATTTCATTGTAGGCCACTAGCCATTACAGTTCTATGGAGGCATGTAGAGATGCTGTTGATGATGATGAGTATGACTTCAACTTGAGTACACAGCCCACTAGTGATTGCCAAATATCACCTGTAAATACACCTAAAACACCCAAGGTGAGCATAGAGTGCAATGAAAGTCTCAAATGCTGCCATCGCCATCTTTTTCACGCAAAAAGATTAAATTACACTGGAATATTTTTGAATCTTTGAAAGTGTGATAAGGTTAGTATATGTAGGTAGTGATGCTATTGTAAATATTTTAATATATTGGAGTACATGTACAGTATAATTTTATGTAGGGTAGATATGCTACTCTAGTTAATTATGTCAATAGAGGTTATATCGCCAATGATAATATTTATTTTTCAGGAAAGAATGCTGGCTAATTTAGAAGCTTTCAACTTTGATGATATATATGAGGAAGCTGATAATGACAACTGTAAATCTGGTAAATCATTTTCATATGTATCAAATTTACCAATCCTGGATATTATAGTCTTATTTCGCCTGAAGATGGAAACCAATTGTCCATATATGTGTAGTTCATTATGGATTTTAAAGATGGCATTCTGTATAACTAGAATCAATTTATCTATATTTTCCTCTAGGTCCAGTATCTGAGGTGAAACCAAAAGCAAGAAGAAAACGGAAACTTCCAATATCCTTTTTATGTCAGCACTGACGTGTCGTTATAGTCTTCATTTTTGTGACAAGTTTTTGGAGTTTTGTTTAGACAATTGATATCTGTAACAAATCGTTACACTTTTGTAACCATTTGCAGCTGTTGAATTTTTGTCATGCTAATATTTTGTATATAAGTTGTTTGTTTTCGCTGAGATGATCAGCAATTTAGTTGTTCTTAATAGGACAAGTCAATCTAAAATGTACCATTCTATTTTTTTGTAATTGGCGAACTAATCTGCAAACAAGCTATCTTAAATGTTGTTTCCTAACACTCAAGTTCTCATGTTATATTCATGTTGAATGATTTACACTATTTTCATTGTAAACTAATACAACAAAGTAGTCCAGTAAGCTATTTATCCAACATAATGTTTCCACCACTTGTTTAAAACTTACATTTTGACATAAATTATTTGTCGTCAAATGTATTTATTCTTAACTTATTGGCAAGATGTGTCTGAGATAGAACCTTTATCGGATGATGATTGTGAAGTTGACAATATTAATGAAGTTGGTGATTGTGACAATATGGTTGAAGTTGACAATAGTGAAGCCCAATCATTCAAACCAAGGAACCTCTTTGATTATAAGCGTAAAAAACAAGGTGAGATTTATTTATATTTTGTTGGTATTTATATGTATTGTTTTTTTTGTTTTTTTATTATTTATCAGTATTGTAATGATTTTGAGTACTTTATTATGAAGACCAGGTGGTGTATGATATGGGAAATGATTTAACACACTCATATCTTTGACCATTTCTGCAACCTATTTTCCTCAAAGCAAAGTTATCAGAACCTTCCTTTTTTAAATTTTACCCCATCAAAAGTTTCGTCTGAATTGTGTCAATTACTTCTGAAATGGGCATGGGATTAAAATGTGATCAAGTTGAAAACAACATATTAACCCTTGTTATCTTCCTGTAGGGAAAACTAATTCTATCCATTGTTTTCAGCCTAATTTTGGTCACCAAAATTATACATTTTCAAATTCAATCTTCAATGCCATTGGCCATTGGAGAAGTTGGAGAAGTCTCTTGTTGTTTAATATATTTATGTCATAAGAAATGAGAAAAAGAATACAGTATATGTCTATTTTTAAAATTGTTATTAAAATCTTGTAGTAATAGGTGGTCTCTGATATATCTTCACTTGGCACACCATACCTGGGAACCAATTTTGGTCATGGAATCTTGTCTGTAACTAACTTACTATTTTGGTAATGGGTTTCATAGATTGATACATGGCTAATATAAACGATGTGATATTGTTTACACCGTGTGTTGTGGTGTTATTTGTCTTTCATCTTAATGAAATACTACTGATTTTTAATTGCTACACGGTAATGGTATAATCACCTTCCTTACAATCCAAAGCAATAGCATTTATCATGTTTTAATGGATTTATTTTGCTTATTTTTTGATTTATTTAGATCTCTTTGTTCTAATGCAACTGAAATAAGGTTCAGTAAATCATTCATTGTTCAGCTCTTTATTTTCTCAGCTTGGGTTTACCATATTCAGGAAATTGATACACTATTTTCATCGATCTATGACTAATATAAGCAAGCTAGAAAATATCATAACAAGAATGTGAATCCCTTTTTACCAAGTCATTATTTGCATTAGCAAGTGAGAAAAAGGCCTAGTCTGTCATTAAATTCTAGTTATTGTGAATTAAGCTAATAAGAGTTAACGCCGGTTGTCATACATAGAAAATATGCTTTTACAAAGTGAGGCGTATATCTAGATTATGGCACTAAGAAAATGCTGTCCTGCCATATTGGTCTGTACTCATAAACATCAAAGAATAAAAAACTGGATTTTGTAAATCATGAAAAGTTAGGATATTTTGACCCATTTTAATTTGTGGACCATTTCTTTCAGGTTGAATTAGATTTTTTCACTTAGTTCAAAAAATCACTGGTATAGTATACAAGAATCAAGAGTTCCTCTCATACTTATCTCAATTTTTCTAAGTATGGTCCATGGGAGAGAATAAGAATCTGGTGATTTTTGTTATTAAACCTGACTGTGATGATGGAAAATGATTAACAGAGGATGTTAGATAAGTAATTCCGTTGATACGTGAATACATGAAACAGCTCTTAAAAGCTTTTAATTTTGTAGAGGTTGCTGACCTGTCTGACTTTGATCAGGAAGATATTGATGGGGAAGGAGGTCCTCTAGAATCCACCCCCTCAGAGAGCCATAGATATGAGGTGCCTGACATCAATCAAGACTTCTCAACAGGCATGTCAAGTCTCCTCAACTCATTTGGCGCCGACCTTCAGAAAACATTAAGGGTAAGCTTAACCCGAGAAGTGCAATTTTGTTGATTTTTGATGAATTGAGAGGTGGACAACTTTGCACTGAAATGGGAATTTAAGAACTTAGTTCAATCACCATTCAAGTCTATAAATGTATTTGTGTGATTATACTTTCAAATATAAAATATGGTACCTCAAATAATATTCAGTAGCCTTTTAAATGATTTCAACTGTGCTTTACTCCAAACTCTCAATCATGCTACTGTTAATATTAGAAGTTAGTTCGGATAAATAAAATGAGGAAGAAATAAGTATATATAGTATAGATATAAATCCTATTCTTTTAATATTGTACTTCAATAAGATTAATGAGCTGAGCAATAGATTTGTAGAATCTAGGACAATGCAATTCTTGGAATTTTGAATGGCAGTGTCAATTTCAAATTAATTTGAGCAGCAAATAGTCTTATAATTACCAATCTATTTCACAATCCTCTTAAAAGTTATTTGATTTCAGTCAGTTTTGTCTGATGGGTATGGAAATGAATCTATTAATAACATCTGACTCGCCTGATTACTTATTAGTAGGAATATGACCTTTCCACTATGCCGTTTGTAAATATCATTTAATATTGTTTTGTCATTTATTTTATGCATTAGATGATTATTTCCATCATTTTAATGAATAAAAAGTCTGTGAGGATGGACTGCTCAATCAGTTAATCCGCCTATCCTCCAAAAGCCCACTTTCAGAGGAAGACTATGGGATCTGTATGACCTTATTTTATTGAAAATATTCTAGGCTTAAATTATGAAAGGAGAATTTTATGGACTCAACCTTAAAGGGCCAATAACTGAAATATTTTGAATTCAAATTGAAATGTCTGTGTGAGTGCCACATAAATCATATCTTACAAAAATGTTTTTTCTTCTTTTGACAACCTTTATTTTACTAAACAGGACGTTACGGATCCTGTCTGGATCCGTTTTCAACTGTATAAAAACTGAACTGAAGCACTACAAAACAATTAAATAAAAACAATATTAAGTCATATTAATTCACCAAAAACTCATTCCTTCTTTATAGAAATAGATTCTTTAAACCATCTTAAGTCTCTTATTGTCATTGTCCAAAACTGTAGTATTGTTCCAGTCCATTACACAATTATTCTGAAGGACGTGGTCCGTAATGGCTGATTTATTCATCACCCCTCTCATATTTTCTTTTGCTTGGCGCATGTAACGTGAATTGTCCCTCGAATCTGCACAATACACGTGAATTTCATCAGCCCCTGTAGACAAAAAGCATATTAATTCCCTAATAGAGATAGAGTTTCAGTTCATGCAGCGACTTTTGTTATCAGTCACTGAGCATTTTTGCATTATTTTATTTCATTTCTAACGACTTCTCATTGATATCATCATTTGTATTGTGTGTGTTTTGTAAAGCACTTCACAGAGTGATCATTTAATCAGGCAATGTTGAAGATGTCATAATGTACAAAATGTCATCAGTTATAGTATCAGAGTTATTATGCTTTCTCTTATGTTGTTTGAAAATTAAAAAGTTAATATTACATAGTATTATAACAAGAAAAGAACTAGAAATTAGGGGTCCCACAATACAAAAGATTGAATATACTCATTGGAAGTGTTCCTGTTTCAGAGCAAGCAACATCAATTGGACCAATTTACAAGGGCATCACTTAAATGCACCCAGAAACAAATGTCCACCCACTGGGCAAGCCAGCTGGAAAGCAGGTAAGTTGAACCTAATATAACTTACATAAATTTTTCAGATTTCACCATTTTTCACTAATTAACAAAATGTTTGGCTAAAATATGGTTATTACAGGGGCTATTGATTTTTATGTTTACCTCAGATATTATGGGAATGTCTTATATCATGTAGTAGACTATAGGGTTAACCTTAGGGGAGAATCTCCATAAAATAGCACTGATCATCAATCAGATGTCCCCCTGTGATAAGAATAAGTATATTATACCCAAATGATTTGATTAAAGGGAATATAATTTGAGTCTTAAATCCCTTGGCACTTATATTGACATGGTATTTTGACAAAAATTCATGAGAAAACACAGAGCATGTACACAGTTCTGATAAATCTGAACTAGATAATTTGACAATACCAGATGCCAGTAGGTAGTTACCAGAGCTAGAAGTCACATTTTCATCGAAAATTTTCAATGTTGATAAACAACTTTTGAAACCACTCTTTTAGATGTAATTTTATAAAAAGATTTCAATTATGATATCACTTTGACTGAATTTTGATGTAAACCAAGATTATTTCTATTCCGATTTAGTCTATTAATATAGCTGAACAAATTTTTCACTCAGTTTGAGGGATATCCTAGCTAGCTGTGTGTTTGACTGGTTGCCTTATTTACATTGAAGCCTCATTAACAAACTGCATCGTGCCAATCACCAAAATAATTACCACACAGCAATTCCCAAATAAGAAATCGAACCCAATAAAGCTATTTCTGCTTGAAAAACATGCTTGTATTTGAATGCTTGAAGTAAACAGTTCATGTTGTTTTGGGAAATTGTTTTTGAAAATAGATACAGTTCATCCCACTGTGAATTTGGAGTCAACATGTTATAAGTCTACATCAGATGTGCATGTGTCTATGATAAGTGATGAAAATTGATTTAGTCAGTGCTATGAAAATAATTAGCTGAAGAGAGCTGTTTATGTGTCTGTTGGAAACATTCTACAGTTTCTGAGCACAGTCTGAGAAGTAATAATTTAATAAATCTTATCTCCAATGTAATAAATGCAGTTGTCTTGAACACAACTGATCACTTACAGATGGAGTGGAGACATTGCGCAAATAGATTAAAAAATAGTTTTATGTTGACAAGACCCTTTATACACTAAAAAGCATTTGTTGATACAGGTGATAAAACATTTGATTAGATAATATGAAGATCGTTAGCCTATAAATCATGTGATATTTGAGGACCTCTGGTGAAGTATTTTTGTGAGGTTTGAAGATAATACATTTTTTGAAATATTTTTTTCTTACTTTTCATGGATTCGTGTATTTGTAGATATGTGTGAGTGACAGCTTGAGTGAAGTTTTCTTCTAATTAGCTTCCATTCACTGAAACAAATTAACCTTAAACTGGTAAATACTTCATGATATTGGATCTGATTGGAGGATATTATAAACTGGACTGTTCTTTTGTGTTTTGATAATCTGTGAAGCAGAATCTAAATAGGTTGCACATGATGAACAATTAAGCAATAAGAATTAATTGCATTTGCAATCGATGCAGTAATGAATGTATTATGACTTTGGCAGCCCTCTATCACATTATGATGATCCAAACTGCCATACAATTGGAAATTGGTATATATATTGGTGTAAGCATATGAGAAGAACATCATCGTTCACATGCGCTTATTGCTAATGTTAGGAAGTCATGAATAGTGGCATACCATGCATATATTGCCTAGTGAATAATATCGCTAGATGCAAGTGGCATCTATAGCCACCATATATATTCACCCACTTCTAGATTTAATCATTTAATAGGAGTTCTTACACACAACCTGTGGTGCTTCATATCCTGAAGTTTTTTATGATATGAATAGGAGTAATGAAACAAAATACTATAACAAGTAACACTGTGCTGATGAAAATTTATTAATATTATGATACTCAATGAGGGATAATGAAGACACCTTGTGAAATGCTGTGAGGTTAAACCAGAGACTTATTAAGACTCATTCCTCATTTGTGAAATGACATAGTTCAATGATCATTCGGATTAATACCGCAAAGAAATATGTTTTCGATTGTACATTTCATCAAGAGGTCTTTAGACTTTCAATTCCCACTGAAGATATGAGCGGGATGAGAAGTGATAAATGATTGTTCTGTTTAGAGATTAGGAATATATTGGATTGAAAGGACTTTTCTAACAATAGCAGTCTGATTAAACATTAATAACTGTTTTGATCGCTTTTTACAAATAATGCACATTTTTAAAGGGAATATTTATTTATCTTAACAGGAAACTGCATAAATTACTATTGTTAATATATATGGCTGGATAAACAATGTGGAACCGGCAGTTTAACAAACATTTATACATTTGGATCAGTAGAAATATTACCATTATAAAGTATAAACTGGAATTTAATGACCTGCAAAATAAGTAAGTACTTATATGGTTGAATAAAGAGATGCTGTAAATCACTTTAAGACATTCATTCATAACTGAACTTTAATGATTTTCGAAATGTATCTCACAGGACTTCTACAATTAGTTACATTCAGCAGGTTTACTAAGCATCTACAGCTGGATAAATGTTTGTAAAAATATTGGAAATGAACAGTTTACTGCCTGACTATGTTAGTTGTTTACGTTTGTACTTTGGTATGAATGCAGGTCTATGCCGAGACTAATGTGCATTAATTATGACACCTGTCATGTGAATATTTTAATTATGGCAAACAAGTAGAGATATATATGGATTGTAAAAGAATGAATATTATTAGTAATGGGAAGCATATATTAAGAAAAAAAAACGGCTAAGTGACTTAGCTGAAAGATTACCTATTTTATTTGGATAGTGTTATACAAAGGAGATAGTCACCATTACATGTATTGATTACCTGTAACGTGGGCGATATATTTCATAGACTTCTTGACACTGAAGAAAATATTTTCTGCAGACATTATTTTAAGATGAATGGAAATATGAAAAAATAAAATAAATATAATGATGAAGTTCATATAAATAGATTAATTACATTTTAAATCCCAGCATATAGTGGACATGAAATCAGTTAATGATTTAAAAAGTTGAATTGCTTATTGGAATCCCATTATTCACTTGTCATAAGACTTGAAAGGAATGATGAATTCAACTTGCTTGATCCCGAGTGCTATTTACAGCTCAGTAAACACCAACAACACTAGTCCTTTAGTGGCGCATGCAGTTACCAATATACTTCATGTACTGATAGGATTGCTAGGCACTGTTGGGAATGGATTATCAGTTCTGGGATTATCAAAGATACGACCAAGTACGACCCATGTTATTGTGCTAAAGTACCTAGCCATTGCCGATATAAGTTACCTGTTCACCGTTATATTCCTGGCTATCATCAACTTGTTAACTCATGTACGTTTTTATCCTCTTCAAATTTACATAAACAATGGATTGATACAGATATTACCAACATTATTTTTGTTGGTATCATCAACCCAAATATGGGCAACGTGGATGATTGTACTGGTAACAGTGGATAGATATATATATGTGTGTAAACCACACAATGCTTTGCAGATTTTCAATAAAACAACAGCTCATGTTTGCGCTGTTTTACTGGCCATGGCTGCTTTTGTATTCAGCATTCCTCGTATCTTTGAAGTCAAGGCCGAGAAGCAGGGATGGTTCTTAAACAATAGAACATGTGATGATGTATTTGGCCTTAATGGAACGGCTTTATACAACTCAAAAGACTACAAACTGTTTTATGATGTAATCCTAAACACTACTTTCAGACTAATGGGGCCTGTAATTGTTACTATGGGACTCAATATTCGCCTGATTCAATCCGTACGTAAATCAGCTAAGGCAGTGTCATCCCTTACGCATCATCAGAGAAGGGAGAGACATTTTACATTTCAGATGATAGGAATCGTGTCCGTTTTTATTATATCATCACTAGTCTGGACTGTTGCTTGTCTTTCATATCTTATACGTGATGATGACAAAGTGCGAAGTACCTACCTAAACTTAATTGGTAATTTAATATTAACATGCAACTCATCTATTAATTTCCTGTTTTACTTTTTCATAGGAAAGGATTTTCGACAGGCATTATGTAAATTTCTTCGACGCAGAAAATGTAAAAGGGAATCGTTTAGTCGAAACACTAGTATATTATAACTTGGAAAACAAACTAGAGTTGACAAGGTAGGACGTCATGACATATACTTTTGACAACCTACGTTATTCTCTTCGCAATACAAGGTTGTTGTAATTTGTGAAGTTTGTCGAGTTCTGAAGCTTTGTACTCGAAATTGGAATCTGTGATTTATGTTCTTATTTTCAGGTTTATCACCATAGACAGCAAGTAATTTATACAGTATTCTCTTTTTATTTTCAATCATTCATAAGAGCTTCAAAAGACAAAACAGATGGGTTTGATATTTTGCAACTTAATATATGATTGTTAATCCTACAAAGTTTAGGAGGGATCCGGTGAGCCTATTGTGGGATCCACAGCCTGTACTATCCTTTAGAATAGAGGTAAACCTAAAATTGAAATTGAACCAGTAAAATCAATTACAGAGATCAATTGACCATGAGTTTATTGGGAAGGTAAGACAATGCCTGATGAGTATGATTGTAAAGAGCAAACAAAATATTCTCTCCCAAATAATGCAAGTGTCATCATTGGTATGATAATTTCGATGTAAAGATTAGAAAAGAGTAAGAAAAAGGAATTATGTAAACAGTAATTTATTCAGTCATTAGTGTTCAATATAAAAAGGAGAACCACTCAGAAAATAGTTTACTTTGAAACTTTACACAGGGGAGAATTAGTAGGTCCATCCTTAGGTAATAATTTATTTCTCAACATGCACTGATTTCCTTGGAGAATGCGCTGGTTATTGGAACATGTTTTGTGCTTTGATAAATCAAAGTCTCTCACTAGCTTTAGACTATGAGTAAATCTCCCAGTCTGCTAGTTTATTTGACATTAGGCTTGTTTTACCAGACTAAGTTTTTGGCCTGGGCCCCAGAAGAGTTAATAGATCAGATCAATACTTTACTTTTAAGAATTGATTATACAATGCATATATTATTAGTGCTATAAATTTAAGTTTACGATTATTTTTGAACACAATAATTATTCATAATTTGTGTGATACTGTAAGGCAAAAGCAATCATATTTTTTGTTGGTTTGGTTTTGCTACTCTTTAGACTCACCGTTTTCTGGTAATTTGACCAAATGCTGATAAATGCCTTCATGTCTGAAAAATATTGTCAATGGTATTTTTTTTAGGTATTCAGTCATTCCTGTGGCAGAGGCATCGAAGCATATAAACTGAGGTAGTCAAGCATGTAATAGTTACTCCCATAGATGTGGGGTTGATTTGCGTTTTTTCTTATTTTTGACATTTTACATAAGCAAATCTCCCTACAAAACTTAGCCATCAAGATCATATAGTTGGATACCTGGATGAATGGAACTTTGAGATGAAAATCCAACCAATATCTGCAGTTTCCTTACCTCTTCCCTTCACTTCATTGACAAAACACTTTTACCAATATCATAAGCAATGATAATCAGATGATACTTCATATTGACAACTATTCGGCTTAATATCTGGCTCTTGAAATATCCACCATTTTTGAATTTGTACATTGAAGTAGATGGAAAACTTTTGATGGAAAACGAAATTACCTGTCAAACAGTATTGCTAATTGGTAATCCCTTTAAACCCAGCGCAATACTCTACCTTAAAGAAAAGCTGAAATTGTATTTACAGATTTTCCCTCTATACTTACTTTTTGGATTTCGTTTTTTGAGGAAGTGCTCATTTCGAGATGCAATACCCGAATGTCCAGAGATCAAAAATTGAAAAGTTTTGAAACATAAATTGTTATCCGTAGAGCACCTTTGTTACAAGAGTAAATAGAACATCTTTAAGGCTACTAATGGCGTCATATTGATAAATAATCACTTGTAGAAACGAACATTATAAAAGTGTGTATAATTATTTTTATAAAACTTCAACTTTATTTAAAATCTCTTCAAATTACATGGGTTTGATGGCTAAATTCTGTGAGGGAGATTTGCTCATGTCAAATGTCAAAATAAGAAAATATGCAAATCCACCTTACATTTATTGGGGTAGTAAGTAATAGTGGACTTATATCATGCTGCATAATGAGTGTATAAAGAATACACAACAAAAAGGTTGTATTTTCTAAGTGATGCCACTGAAGCAGGTAGCATAAATGTGACCTTGATTTTCACTTGAAATTAATTCCAGTTTAAGATTTAATCCCAAAAGAATGTACAGTAAAACCTGTGTATATTGAACATTTTTTTTGCTGAGAAAAACATTCAGTGTTAGTAGGTGTTCACTACAAGATATTTCAGAAGTTTAAAATGATGTTATTTGAAATTGAATATATAATATTCACTGTTATACAGTGTTAGAATAAGTTTCTTTTCCTTGAAAAGAATTGGCATTGGATGATATATGTCTCCAATTTCAAACAAGGTGATGCGTGTCTTCAATTTTAAGCATCATTTCAGTGTAATAGTGTGCCATTACTCCTGGAGGCAAATGCTATAAATTCTTATTTTCTTATTGTATTTTCTAAGAAAATTATTTATACTTGTCAGTTATTGCGTAGGATCCTATTGTTATCTGATCCTGTTACTAGTATTGCACAATCAATTTATCATCTTTTGAATCCCCACATCCTGAAAGTTTATTTTGACCGAAATTTATTCTATTGTTATCTGATCCTATCATTACATAATAAGCTCATCATATCTTGATTAATTACTTCCTGAAAGTTTAGTTTGACTAATTCAGTTTCGAAAACAAATTAGTTATCAGATATAGTTTATAGAATGATGCGGGAATGAAACTTTATATTTTATTTTTCTGATAGCCTCAATATTTTTACATTAAAACACCTATTTGTATTAAAGTACATGAATTATGTAAAATCATGGTTAATTTTTATGAACGTTCCATTACCCATACCATGTGTACCTAACTTTTATTGAATCCGTAACCTTATATAATGTTCACCAGATTGAGGGAATGTTTTAAGATGTATCAACTTAAACTGTCATAACATGGTTCAGGAGCTGTCTGTTTTGGTGGTCTTAACCTTAAATTATATTAGCGCTGATTGCTTTTTGTGGATGGAACATGAGTTACAGACAGGGACCTGCAGAGCTGTTATATTCTGATATTAGCTTGATGCAGCTCAATGTTCACATTTCAAATTGACCTCATAAGTACCATGTTAAAATAACAATCATTGAGATTGATATTAAATGCTATATAGGGTGTACCCAAAAGTATATCAACAGCACAGACATTATTTTTATGGGCATGTAGCTAAAGCATGTAGGCCTATGTTTTCTCCACAATACAAAATCTTTAGTTGAGGCTTGCATTTTTGATGCTTCAACATTTTTTACACCACATGATGAATGTAACCTCCTGATATTTCAATGGCAGCTTTCATCATTACTGCTAAGTTGCTCATCACATTTGATGTTTCCAGCGGAATGTTTTGAATTTCTGAAGCTGGTCCTAAGTTGATCTTGGTCTCTTGACTTGGAATTAGCATAAACATGGTTCTTCAAGTAGCCCCAGAGAAAAAGTCTGGGGTGTCAAATCTGTTGAATAGGGAGGTCCTCACACAGAGATCAGACGTTCAAGAAACTGCACCCATAGGAATTCTTGCGTGGCCCTTGCATTGTTTGGAGGGGCTCATTCTTTTTGAAACCACTGTGTTCTCATTTGGATATCATTTGGTCTCCAGGCTAGCCTGCATAACTCTGGAAGGTAGAACTCCTAAATCATTTGACGCTAATTGACCTAGTTCTTTGTGATTGTTCTGCTGCCGTCATCCTCAAACTTTGGGCCTATTTGAAGGAGCGTTTTAAGGTTAACACAAGCTAAAAGACCTAGAAGAACGTATAGCCAACATCTGAAGAGAAATCTCTGAAGAGAAATCCAAATATGTTTCACCGGAAACATTATCAAATGTGATGAACAAGCAGCAGTAAGGATGCAGGCATCAAAAAGGCAAGACTGAACTAAAAACTGTGTATATGGGAGAAATATATTGATTGGTTTTTCTGTCCTGTTGATATACTTTTGGGTCCATTTTTTGAGACACCCTGTATATCTAATTCTTAGGCTCAAAGGTCCTTATAATTACATTTCTTATATATGTATATATTTTATATGTATCCTACACCCCATGTTTGGGGGTTTCAAGTCTGATACCTTATCCAGAAAAATTGAATTTCTGAAATATTTGAAAGCCAAACAATACAATGACATATTATATAACAGTACCTTCATGCTGCTGTCCCCCTTGTACATTTTCCAGAAAACATGAAAAGGGTGAACATTGAAGAAAACCCCAAACTTTTACTTGAGGTTTTATCATACTGTGCAGGCTATTTGAGGTCAAACTTTGATAAATAGTCTGCTTCAATAAATGCATTATTTAATAGACGTATAATTGCTTTGACCATATTTACCATTCATTTGCAATAAAACTGAGTTCTCCAGAGCACAATTTATTCGATTACAAAAGAACCCTAAATGAATTGTATCAACCAGTATAATAATCATTCCTCAATATTGCTTCATCATATGAAAGGCATACTTTGTTGAGTGCTAACAATGAAACTTTCAAGTTTGTCATTTCGTTACACAAATCTTGTTTGTAAGAGTTGAAGAAATTGTACATGTATTGTAAATACCAGTTTAATATTGTACATGTTTGACATAGTAGTGATTGGTTTGAAGTTTGTGATAATGATGATGTTCTGTATATTGTACCCTGATCACATATTCATCTGAACATTAAACTGTGTTGTAGAACAAATCATTTGCTTTCTGTTGTTATTACTATTAGAAATGATATCAATGTGCGGAAGATATGATCTGAAACTCTGAACAGTCTTAACAGTTACCAGAGGAGGGGATTTCCCAAAGTTTAGGGATGAGCTGTCTTGCATACAAGGATCTCATTCATTGACCCACTTAACAAATTGGTTTTATTTTCCAAAAACCAACATTGCCTTGATTCAAACATTTGGGGGGGGGGGTATGACCTGCCAGTTCAGGTAGATGGAGAGCCTTGGATACAACCACCTGGCACTGTTGTTGTCTTGAGATCAGCGCAGGTGTAAATATTTTCAAAACAAATGCGTGATATGCACACATATTTTGTACCAAATGCGTGACATAAACGGCAATCACGTGCAAAGACCGAACGGATTGCGTTCGCTTTTTTTCGCCGTTCGCTTTTTTACCGTGTCGGCATTTCACAAAAAACGATTTTTAAGAATATCAACAAAATGCGTGATTTGCGTGATATTTGATCATACACGCTAAATTGATGCGTGATTTCTATTTTTCCAGCAAATGCGTGACAATCACGCCTAATGCGTGAGGGTTGACAGGGCAGCTTTTTAGAAAGCCATGAGTCATGAGTTCAAGAGTACCTTCATATATCGCCCATACAGTTTTGCTGAAAATGTAATAGACCAATTAAATAAATTTCAGAGATCAACTGACCATGAGTATCATGGAAAGACATAGCCTGGAGTGGGGCTCCACATATCATATTGCTTCAAAAGCTATAAAACTAATTTAGATGATACGGTTTGTAACTAATGGCAATGGCAATAGAATATTATGTAACACTGTAATATTTCAACATTAAAGGGAGAATCAGATCTAGCGAGCAAGCTAAACAAAAACAAAAAATTGTTTCAATTCTGGAATATTTTTTGCTCAATGAGCTTGCTAGATCTGATGTTATTTCAAATTAGTTCAGTACTTCACTTGTAGGAAAGTTACTTGAACGTGAACATTTGTTTCAATATTGGATCTTGAATATAGCAGGTGATTGATTTTTTTCTGAGAGCCAAATTCCACTTGTGGTAAAGCTTGGATCAAAACCCGTTGAAGCCCCTATAATCCAGAGAACTGCATAAGATTTTGAGAGTTCTGCATAGTAAACAGTTATTGTTGGT